GAAATTTGTTTTTTTGTTCTGTGATCTATATTTCTCCTTGGCCGGGTTTTTTTGTTTTGGTATATTTTTCCTGTAAATTCTCTGTTGAGAGTTCCTGAATTGCTGCCGAGATTCTGATTTCTGTCCTGCTGTGGATTTTCTATTCCTGGTTGGACTGGCGAGCCATCCCATCATTTCGTCCCTGGAAACCTGTAAAAGAGTGTGAGAAACAAAGTTTCAGAGTGGGTAGGACAGAACTACACACATGGTATTTTTTTTCACTTTTCACTTTACCTGGATCTTCCTGAAGACAAGAATTTGAGTTTTTTTTCTCCTCATGGACTGAACTGTTTTTCCATTTTGATGAACATTCTTATTTCTTATTTTTGAAATTGAGAATACAATTGTTGAATTTGGAATTTAAATATTGAGGCTGAGATTTCGAAAAGTGACATTGAGAATTTTCATTGTTTCCTGGTATATGTAATTCAATTGAAGTACTGTATTTTTCTGTCATTTAATTGCTTTGTTTTATTTTCATTTCCATAATTATTCAAATTGCCAACAAAGAGAAAATATACTTACCTTTTATTTAGCAGATTGCATTACAGTAGTCTGAGTGATTTACTCATTTTAATTTATTATAATATTGACTTTTGCTAGTTTTGCTTCAGTGAGTCGATCCGGAAATCTTCTGAGTCTGAACTTGTGAGATATAGAATCCGTGCCACTCGTTACACTTGCTTTTCTGTTGAAGATTTTTGTTGCAGAATGTATTCAGTTGCACTAGTATGTGCACACGATTTGCTTCCATGCTTGTGCAAAATTTTTTTTTTTCCTTTTGTGTTGACATGTTTCCTATTGAAACAGGATTTTTTTTTTTTTTTTGTAAACTAGCATCCTTCCCCAGCTAACTTCCCGGCGTCTCGTTAACTCAGATGTACGTCATTGCTTATGTTGCAGGAGTAAGCAATACTGGAGTCTGTAGCACTATTGGAGCCTGTAGTTGTCTTAAGCACATAAGCAACAATATCATTGGCCGACAACAGTCCAAGACGTCACTACCGGGGCGGCCATGAGTACAAGAGACGCCTGTAGAACACGTCATCAACTTCTTTGTCTGAAGGAGACGTAAGCAGGCAAGCCAGAACTCTTGTTCCTTCTCAGGGAACAAGGGTTACTTTTGTAACTGAGACATTCCCTTTCGAATGGGAACGTGCACTGCTTCTGACCAGACGCTATGGGGAACAAATACCCACTATGCCATGCTGAGGGGAATGACTGACTGATTGGCTGTGACTAAGCACTCAAATAAGGACTTGACGGACTTAGAAGCCAGAGTCAAAAAATACCCCAACTCAGGTAACCAGTGGACTGTCAGTGACAATATTCCCTACGGCCACCACCCAAGCAGCATAACCTATGCAAGGAAAGTGCTCGTCCCAAGGGCAGAACTCAAAGGTCTGGTATTGCTAGCCATATATATATTAGATGTTACCTATTAAAGGAATACTGGGTCAGGGAGTAAGTCAATTCCCTAGCCTGTCACTATCACTAGGGTGAGCAAGGTCTACCCCTAGACACCCCAGGGAATCTAAAAAAGGTACTACCTCTGTAGAAAAGTGCTCACACCCTGTCTGACTACAGTCACAATCTCAAGAGATCAGCACTCCTGAAAGTGCTGGCCAATGAGAAGGGATGCAAAAAGGCAAAAAAAAAAACACTTCTCATTGGGGCTCAGAGATTGGTATCTATGGGGAGCAGAGGACTCAGTATGACGATCTTGGTAGTGAGGGGAATACCACTCACACTCAACCCAAAAGACTTGCTCACCAAGGGGAGCTCTCTAAGTGCGAGCTACTAACACTCAATGTCGCTGTCTAGAGAATGTGATTCCAGGAATCGGACCGAGCTCATGCCAGGGGAACTGAGGAGTGAGGACCCTAATTAAAGACCCTAAACAGTAGGGAATGGCAACTCTACGCTCGACCCTGAAGATCTGCTGATCAAGGGGAGCCAGCAGAGAGCTAGCTACAACCACTCAAGAAACTGCAGTCCCATGCGAAGATCTCAAGATTCCAGTACTCCCGAAGGTGCCCTACAACAAAAATAGTTCACAAACTGGGGCAAATATCGCTTGTCGGGTTCTAGAGACCGTAGTGAAAGGAATCACAGTTGTGGGGAAGGGTTCAACTCCACACTTAACATTGAGGACCCGCTAATTAAGGGGAGCTTGCAGAAAAGCGCAGCTACACCTCTAAACGTAGCTGTATCAGAAATGGGATTCCAGGAATCATACCAAGCTCTCTCACAGGAGGACACTCACTGAAATAAAACCCCAGTAGTGGGGAAGGGTTCTACTCCCCACTGAATATTGAAGATCGACAGGGGAGCCCAAAAAGCGCTAGCTACAACCACGCGAAATCACCATCTAAACCAGATCTCAAACTCCAGTGCTCCTGAAGGTGCCGTACAACATGAAGGGTTCGCAAACTGGGGCGAAAAAGCAACTTCCCATTGGGTTCTAGAGATCGGACATGCTGGACATGTGCAACATAAGACCTTACTTCAAGACCCGAGAAACGGGGAGGACACTACTCTAAGTTCAACCCAGGAAACTCTAAAATCTCCAAAATCTCAAGATTTCAGCACTTCCAAAGGTGCCTTACAACAAAAAGGGTTTGCGAATCTTGGGTGAAAGCCACTTTCCGTGGGGTTCTAGAGATAGGACGAAGCTCAAAGGGGAGCAGAGGACACTACTTAAAACCATAAAAAAGAGATGCAAGGGAGTTTCCTGCTTAGAGAGAAAACACAAATATCTGGGGGAGGGAGCTACAACCTTGACAAATAAGGGAGGCTTCATACTTTGGGGACCCCAATATCTGGGGGAGACAGCTTCAACCTTATTACTATAGGGGAGCTACCTGCTTAGAGAGAAAAGGCCCAAGGCAACTTCAACCCATTGCACTTAAAAGGAGCTTCCTACTTAGGGGACCCAATCTCTGGGGGAGGCAGCTTCAACTTGAACACAATCAGGTGCTACATGGCTTTTTAGCATCAGCCAGTATAGAAACAGAAATTAAAGTACTGACTTACAGCTTGTTCCGCTATTTGTTGCACTACACTTTGAGAAAAGTTAATGGTATACATTTTGGAGATGTCAAGTATATAAAGTCCCATTAAACATTGCATACACATCACATTGACGATGATGCATGAGCAAACTCTGTTGACATATTTCCTATCGAAACAGTATGTTTTTGTTGTTGTAAGCTAGCATAGATGACATAGACTAAAAGAAACAAAACTCAACAATTTTCATTCAAGATCACAGTCATGTTTTTCCATGCACACTTAGTGTTGCGGTTATGTGCATTTTAACATTTTAATGTTCACTATGTCTGAGCATCTGAATTTTGTATTATTTGATTGTTTTGTCATTTAAACATTTTATATTTTCAACATTTCAAAATAATAGTAATGTCATCATTATTATGTTGGATAAAAAAAAACAGTTTAAAAAGATTTCACATAAAATTCAGCTTTCAATAATGATGTGTTATTAGAATAATATGTCTATTCAATACCTTTTATGGTATTTGTGGAATTATGTTTTTAAATCCACTAATTACTTGGACCAACGCTACCATTAATGTACTTTGCCTTTAGTGCTCTTTTCACTGAGAATGTTACGTAATAATTTAGAAAAGACATTTTATACATACAACATTGCTATGATAAACAGTTTAAGCTGTCATAGCTGATGATGATGATGATTGATAAATGAACTTTGACCTCTGACCCTCAGAGCATCTCTGAAACCTGCAAGATGTTATTAGACCGTTAATGTAAAATTACCTCGTCTGAGTGTCATTCTGGCAGGACTCTCAGCTCATTAGTTTTCTTGAGCCTGATGAAGTGCCTTCTAAAATCAGCTGCATGCGCACTTCGTCAAATATAGAGCCGTGATCGCAGCATGAGACTGACATTCCTACAGGCTCTCATAATGTTCTCATAAACTCAACAAATCACATTAGCAAAATAGCAGGAGTCTTAACACATCCACACGATAAATAGAGGGATTTGTTATATTTGTTGGAATAATCATGTGACTTGCATTTGACCCATCAGTTCTATTCTATTCTATTCTATTCTATTCTATTCTATTCTATTCTATTCTCTTCTCTTCTATTCTATTCTATTCTATTCTATTCTATTCTATTCTATTCTATTCTATTCTATTCTACTCTGCATTTCTGCACATATACTGTGAAGAACACGTCGCTATTTTGTAATAATTACAAATACAAATAGCCCCCAATTACATACTGGAATCTGTGTGCTATTAAAAATAATATCATGAATGCTTTAGTTAAAAAGAAGTTGATTAGATAAGCCATGTTTGAAGAGCCTATGCACACCTGTGATCACACATCAGCTGAATTGTATATTAATTCAGCTATAATAATTTATAGTTACTACATTTGGTGGGTACAGTATATCACTCGCCAGAATTGTTTGTGATTGTATTATCTACTGTTCAAAAGTTTGATGTTGGAAAGTTTATTATTATTATTTTGAAAGAGATCTCTTTTGCTCACCAAGGCTGCATTTATGTGGTCATAAATACAGTAAAATCTGTAATATTTAAAAAGTAGTGTTACAATTTATATAACTGTTTTCCATTGTTATATATTGTGAAATGTGTCACATGATGCTGCTCGAGAAACATTTCTGATTATTATCAATTTTGAAATCAGACGTGCTGCTTCATATTTTTGTGGAAACATTTTTTAAAGAATATTTGATTAAAAGAAAGACCAAAAGAACTGCAAACCTCTTTAATGCATCCTTGCTGAACACAATGATTAATTTCTTAAAAAAAACAGACCCCAATTTGTTGAATAGTATTGTGTCTTTTATATTGCTCACAGTGGCATTTGATCTAATGTAGAGGCCAGACATGACAGTGAATGTATCATGGTTAAAGGCTGTTGCTGATGGTGTTTTGTTATCTGCAGATTTCAGGAGCGTCAGTGGAGGAGACGCTGGTGGATGAAGTCATACTCTCTGTCCTGCGTGTAGTGGTTCATAAACCAGCTCTCTACACCTGTCAGGCTACTAACCAGCACAGCGGAGGAGCCAATACTGTCAAAGCTACAGCAAAAATAACTGTTTCAGGTCAGTTGAAGTACTGAGCATGAAGTATGCCATGGTGAATGCTTATGTGGGTTATAAGTTATAACACATGAATAGAGAGGTGAAACAGTATTTGACATCGCGGGTCAATTTGACCCGTTTTCGAATTTTCTCATTTATCATGATGAACATGCATGCAAAGTTTCAACATGCTGATGTGTTTTGACATATACAAGCAAAATTACTATTACGCTCGTGGGTCAATTTGACCCTCATAGGCAGCCATTCAAAAGCAACTGTACAGACACAAAAGGGCACTTCAACTCCAGTTCTAACGTGTCTAAAAGTGATCTAACCCTAACCAAACACACTTGAAAAAGCTAAAATCACAGTGTTTAGAATTATTTGCAAATTACAGATGAAAATCTTTGTCAGACACAGAAAGTAAAATAAGCTCTCATTTCAATATTCAAGATATCTAAAATACCTAGCTTTTAACCAAAACTTTTATGTAGGATTTTCAAAGGCAGCTTCACAGAGCCAAAAAATTAATAAAAAACATTTATTTGATGTATGATTTTGATATGTTTGGTTTCTCATTTCCCTGTGAGTGAATAATGAAACTAGGGAACTAGGTCTTATGAAACTAGGGAAAGTTAACTTAGGAAAATTACAAATTTTCATTATACAGCAACATTGTATTGTTCAGTCACGATGTTCAAAGCATAAAAAGTAAAAAAATTGTATATGCCAACAAAGTCAGTATACAGTTTATTTTCCAATTTTGTCAAAAATTGGTTTAAAAATGGTTTAAAAACATTTTTATAAATCATATTTTCAGATATAATGTTTTTGTAATGTTTGACAAATGTTGATATTAAAAGTTTACAGTTTGTATCTAAATCTTTGTTGTTTTTCATAGTGTGATTTTTGAGGAATTGTATTGAATCCAATTAGGGTCAATTTGACCCGGTCCATAAAGGGTGTACACAGAATTCGAACAGTGCACAAGGGTTATTATAACCTTTATCACTGTCAATCTGATTTATATTGGATGTTTTAACAAGGCTGTCATGAACAGACTGGGCACCTCAAAATACAGTAGTTCAAATGTCACTGTTAAATAATTGATTTAAATTGATCTCCAAATTGTCCTTATAGTTTATGCTTTGAGAATTTATAATGACGACGTGACAAAATGCACGTACAAAAAAATTACCATGTTTTATAAAAAAAAAAAAAAAACCATTTATCATGGTAATACTGTGGTATTCTTTGAAGTACATGGGTGTACACTACCATTCAAAGGTTTCGGGTACTTTTATTCATCACACATTAAGTTTATCAAAAGTGACAGTAAAGACTTATATAATGTTACAGAATATTTCTATTTCAAATACATTCTGTACTTTTAAACTTTGCATTCATCAAAGAATACTAACAAAATGTATCAGGGTTTCCTATAAAAGTATTATGCAATTGGTAATCAGACATATTTCTTGTAGCAAATCATCATATTAGATTGATTTCTGAAAGATCATGTGACACTGAAGACTGAAAATGCTGCTGAAAATTCAACTTTGATCACAGGAATAAATGACATTTTAACATACACTCACCTAAAGGATTATTAGGAACACCTGTTCAATTTCTCATTAATGCAATTATCTAATCAACCAATCACATGGCAGTTGCTTCAATGCATTTAGGGGTGTGGTCCTGGTCAAGACAATCTCCTGAACTCCAAACTGAATGTCAGAATGGGAAAGAAAGGTGATTTAAGCAACTTTGAGCGTGGCATGGTTGTTGGTGCCAGACGGGCCGGTCTGAGTATTTCACAATCTGCTCAGTTACTGGGATTTTCACGCACAACCATTTCTAGGGTTTACAAAGAATGGTGGGAAAAGGGAAAAACATCCAGTATGCGGCAGTCCTGTGGGCGAAAATGCCTTGCTGATGCTAGAGGTCAGAGGAGAATGGACCGACTGATTCAAGCTGATAGAAGAGCAACTTTGACTGAAATAACCACTCGTTACAACCGAGGTATGCAGCAAAGCATTTGTGAAGCCACAACACGCACAACCTTGAGGCGGATGGGCTACAACAGCAGAAGACCCCACCGGGTACCACTCATCTCCACTACAAATAGGACAAAGAGGCTACAATTTGCAAGAGCTCACCAAAATTGGACAGTTGAAGACTGGAAAAATGTTGCCTGGTCTGATGAGTCTCGATTTCTGTTGAGACATTCAGATGGTAGAGTCAGAATTTGGCGTAAACAGAATGAGAACATGGATCCATCATGCCTTGTCACCACTGTGCAGGCTGGTGGTGGTGGTGTAATGGTGTGGGGGATGTTTTCTTGGCACACTTTAGGCCCCTTAGTGCCAATTGGGCATCGTTTAAGTGCCACGGCCTACCTGAGCATTGTTTCTGACCATGTCCATCCCTTTATGGCCACCATGTACCCATCCTCTGATGGCTACTTCCAGCAGGATAATGCACCATGTCACAAAGCTCGAATCATTTCAAATTGGTTTCTTGAACATGACAATGAGTTCACTGTACTAAAATGGCCCCCACAGTCACCAGATCTCAACCCAATAGTGCATCTTTGGGATGTGGTGGAACGGGAGCTTCATGCCGTGGATGTGCATCCCACAAATCTCCATCAACTGCAAGATGCTATCCTATCAATATGGGCCAACATTTCTAAAGAATGCTTTCAGCACCTTGTTGAATCAATGCCACGTATAATTAAGGCAGTTCTGAAGGCGAAAGGGGGTCAAACACAGTATTAGTATGCTGTTCCTAATAATCCTTTAGGTGAGTGTATATTACAATAGAAAACGGTTGTTAAATTGTAATAATATTTTGCAATATTACTTTTGTTACTGTATGTTTGATTCATACGAGACTTCATTAAAAAGCATGAAAAAAACCCCCAGTAATGTACCATGCAAATACATAACAAGGTACATTTTCATTTAGTATAACCACTACAGTCACTGTTCCAGGTTACTGCCACAGTATATTAATGTAATGTCACCAGTCATAACGTTTTAGCTAAATCAATTTGAGATGCTTCTGTTAATAAAGGCCCATGAAACGGGGAACGTAAACACTCGCCCACTGTGACCTACTGTTTCAGCCATATGTTTCTCTGGCTGCTTTGTGTAAATATGATGAGACTGTTCTCTAAGTTTCAGCAGCTGTGTTTCTGGAGCCAGGGTTTCAGTCAGCTTGCCTTGTGTTTGCATAGCTGTTCGTTTGCCTCCTCAGAGCCCTGAAATGCTGCATCGTGGCGCTTTAGCCATAGACAATGAACACAATACGATTAGGCAATCTGGAATGAATTATTGAACCAACTGAGTAATGTATGTGTTCATTTCTACCACATATTCCTTATGGCTCTCCTGACTCGTACTGGTCAATCAGCATCTGCAAATTCAGATATAGTAATGCATCATGTGTGATAATGCCTGACTAATGTTTTATTTCTTATGGGTGTGTATCCAAAAAGTGGTGTACGTTTTGAAGAAAGACGGTGTGTCTGACTGGTTTATTCTGTGAAGGAGATTCTTAAATGAAATCAGGAGAGACTGTTAAACTTCACACCTGCTGTATGTCCTGAAAGACCCCCCAAGTTCTGTCTCTGTCCTCCTCTCTCTCACACACACACACACACACACACACATTGAGCCAAGCACTGCATGGCAGAAGAATGATCAGGCCTACAAAGTGGATGTGTTACTCTCGGACATTAAACAGATATTGTTTGTGCTTTTCTCTCTTCTTGGGCCTGTTGGTGGCCGTCTCTGGATCCTGTAACTTTACCATAGAATGGAGGTAAGAATACATTTGCATCCTATTAAGTGTTACTTCAGCATACAATATATAAAGGTTGTTTATTGTTAACTACTGTTTCATGGAGAACCCTTTAACATCCATTGGGCAAAATGTTCTTTATAGTGGAAAAAAGGTTCGGCAAAACAACAATTTTCTTGTTGGTTATTTTCAGAATTATTCATTGAAAGTTTTTTGGGGGGAACGCAGGATGGTCCTTTTGTGGCATAACTATAAAAAAAACAACCTCTTTTGGAATACTTATTTTTAAGAGTATATGTATCCTACCTGGGTGAATCTTACCAAATCTGTTCAGAACATGTGTAGGTCATATTTCAAGAAATTATAGGTCACACATTATTTTAAGGTGTCCATGTTACAGCGTAATTATACATTTAAGTAATGAGTATTAATAATGAGCTACATGCCCTTACTATAGGGTTAGGATTAGGGTTTGGTTTAGAAAAAAAAAATATATATATATATATATGTATACATAAAAAACATATATTCTCTTGCTGCACTGTAAAAAAAACTGAACAAAATATATTTAAATAGGGTGGATGATATGCTTAATTGTCTTGATATCAATTATAAATATGAAATAATATCATTCCAATTTTTGAGGTCAGTATGATTTTTTTATGGGAAAAAATACTTTTATTCATCAAGAATGCATACAATTGATCAACAGTAACAAAATACAGTTATAATGTTACAAATAAATGTTTCCCCAAAATACGAAGCAACTGTTTTTAACGTTGATAATAATGATCAGAAATGTTTCTTGAGCAGCAAATCATCATATCAGAATGATTTCTGAAGGATCATGTGACTCTGAAGACTGGAGTAATGATGCTGGAAATTCAGATTTGATCACAGGAATAAATTACAGTTTAACACATACTCGCGTAGAAAACAGTTTAATTGAAATTGTAATAATATTTCATAATATTACTGGTGATACCACATTATTACCTTGATGAGCAAAAGAGACTAATTTCAAAAACATTTAAAAAAAAAATCATGCTGACCCCAAAACTTCTGAATTGTAGTCTGTATACACAATGGTCTCATCGTTTAAATAATCTGTGAAACATCTTAATGGCTTTATTTTCTTTATTTTTTATAATATGAATATGGATTAAATGAAATATTAAGTAAAAAATTATTAATTTTTTATTTGAATTGGAGTGATTTATTAGTGTGCGTGTGCGAGTCGCCACACTAAGACAGTGTTGATAGTGAATCATGTTAATAGGGCTTGCCATTCAATATGACATCATCTTTGGACTGAGAGCTATGAAAATAAATCGATAAGAAACCTGCATGCAATAATACAAATGAAAGACAGATCTGGACAGTGCACTGCATGACTCAGGTCCGTCGGAAGTTGCGTTTACGCTGACGGGAGTTCTTCCACTGGAAAGAGCCACTCAAATTGAATCATCATGTCTCTGTTGATTTCAAATGATATGCAAACGCATACACATGTGCTGGATAACGCAGTTCACTCCTTCTCTAAAAGCAGGACACGCCATATGGTCTAAGTTACACATGAACTTAAATAAACCAAGCAATTTTCCAAACGATTCAGATTCAGCATCTGGATGCAATTAGAGCAAAGTTAAACAGAATGAACTAATTGTAAGAACTGCACTTTATTCTTGTCAATTGCGCAGTGTGTACATGAGTCAGCGCATAGTCATGAGACGGAGTTGTGTATGGAAACCTTGAAGCAACATCTTTATCCAAAACTGCCATTCTGTTTAGCAGAAGCCAACAATGAGGGCAACGTTACTTTTTGACAACTTCCAAACCCTACTACATATCTCATAAACAGTATTTGCTAGGGTAAGCATCTCTGTTATTATTTATCAGAGAGTTATGGTTTGTTCCTGCACCATTTGTACTACAAACACGATTAATGCCTCAGATTATGCGGTTTGTTGAGGAGAGGTGAGCTGTTACATTTCAAAGCCATCAGATGTTTTAACTGCTATGAGTAAAAAAATGGATATTTAAGGATTCAGCCAAGTCATGTGTTGGGGCTAGAATATTTCAAGGTGGGCTTTTTCAACGCTATCTCACGACCAATTCGTACGAGGTGGCTAATTCGTGCAAATTCGTACGATTTGTCTAAACGCCAGTGATGGTCAGGTTTCGGGGCGGGGTCAGCGGTAGGTCATTCGTACGAATTGGGCAACTCGTAAAATATGTACGATCTTGCAAAAAACCTACAAATTCGACAAACATATGAATTCGTACGGCTTTGCCACCTCGTAAAATACGTACGAATTGCCGTGAGGTTAGGTTGTCTTTTTCCTTTGTGAAAAAGAAGTGCACTTAAACGTGCTTATAAAACGAGTTCTTATTACGGTTTTTCATTATGGTTCATGGTTTTTCATTCGCGTTTTTTGCTTACAGACGACAACATTTTCCAAACGATCCCCGTTCACATGGATCTGTGAAAACAACTAAAAGCGCTGTATTATTGATGCGATGCCAGTAGTTGGCGATGTCAATTTTGTAAAGAAAACCTACTTATCTGTAGACTATATGGATGCGCATGAGGTCACCATTTTCACAAATGCACGTGTTTGTAGTTTACAGGGAGACGATAATGGTGTCGGTTTCAAAAACTTGGACTCTGAAACCTGTTTTCAAAAGTTTGAGTTTTCAGGCCCCAAAAATGCTGTTGTCGTGTAAATGAGTTGAAAGTTTGGTAACACTTTATTTTGATGGTCCCTTTTGAACATTCTGTTGACTATAAGGGTGTATAGTTCACTTGCTTTGGTCCGGGCCAAATAAATTTTTTTTTTTTTGGTATGGTTCGCTTTCACACTGCTCTTTTTGCAAGTGAACCAAAATTTGTAAACAAAACCACACGTGTGCTAAGGTTGTCCATTCATTGGACAAGGATTCTCAAGTAGGGAAATCAGGAAGTGTGTTATTCTGTGCTACATGGGCAGCTGTGCTATGGGCATCTGCCCAAATGTTAATAAGGCAGCTCGTCTCTTCGAAGCTCCAGGTCAAACCACGACTCATTTTATCAAATGTAGTAGGCTACAACAGATCACTTTCCCATAACGCAACTCCGACTACGGAAGCCTGTTAACTCAAAGGCGCAGTGCTTTCTTGCAATTGGGTCGGTTCATGTTCACACCGTAAACGAACCGTACCAGAGTTCGTTTGGAACCGTACCGAGACCACCTCTTCAGCTGGGTCTCGGTTCGGTTGTTTGGTCCGCACCCGAGTTCGATTGCTGTATTCACACCTGCCCAAAAGGTCCGCACCAAGGGGGGAAACGAACTAGAGTTCGATTCAATCGAACCAAACAAGGCAGGTGTGAATACACCCTAAGTAACTTTGCAACTACATGTCAATTAACTCTCATTAGTATTAGTAGACTGTCTGTTTAATATCTGATGACTCTTTATTGTGATGCTTCTCAACAGACATTACACTGACTATAAGTAACTTTGCAACTACATGTCAACTTATTCTAACTCGAACCCTACCAGTCTACTAATACTCTAATGAGAGTTAGTCGACATGTAAGTGCAACATTACTTATAGTTAACAGAATGTGTTAAAGGGACCATCAAAATAAAGTTAAACTGAAAGTTTTTAGTTGAAAACTATGTTTTTTTATTGTTTATTGCTACAAGAGCACATTCAATTCAATTTAGCGCACTTCTTTTTTCACAAGGGTTTACTTGAATCATTAATCAATCACCCAGAACATGCATGAAGAACAGTAACCATCCTTTAAAAAGCCTTTGCAACCACAGCAAGCTTATAAAAACCACACAGAACACTTTAGCAATGTGTTGTATCATTATTGTGTTGTCTTTAATATTGTGATGTCTTATGTTATGTAGACTGTACAAAGGCAGCGCTGGCTATTGCAGCACATACAGGGGCGACGTGTGTCGGAACGTGCTCCGTCGCAACGCTCTGGTGTTCTTCAACTACTCCCTCCCGAACCCAGAGGATGCGCAGGAGTACCTGGCTCAGAGTGTATGGGGGGAACTGGACGGGGTCAGCTCTTTCTGCAGGCCTGCCGCCAGATCCCTGCTCTGCCACGCCACCTTCCAGGACTGCAATCCTTCGGGAATAGGACCAGCACCTAAACCAGTCTGCAGGTAATAAAAAATGTCTGTTCTGTTGTGCATGTGGGGTACATGGTAATGTACCATGTAGAATATAAATGTTTTCCTTCTACTCTTTATCCTATAGGACAGTAAAGAAAAAGAATCCAAACAAACGAGTTATATGAGTATTCTTTGTGGTGGCTTCTCACCAATTGTTGAATAAAAAGTGTTGAAAAAAAAGTTGTTCTAAAAGGAAACCAAATATGCTTTATTGTATTCTTTTGTAATTGTTATTAAATATAAGGAGAGTTTTATATTATTACGGCAGTTATTCATCCTTCCGTGTTAGATATAGATCAGGGTCACTAAATACCCGGGAATTTTATTTACCAGTATGTAAAGTTTATTTAATAATTACCAGTATGTTTGTCGAAACATTCATGCAAATAAAGCTTTAGTTTACCCAAAAACCCTAACCCTCAAGCCATCCTAGGTGTATATGACTTTCTTTGTTTCCTTTTTTCTTTTATCAGAGTCATATTATAAGAAATATCCTGGCTCTTCCAAGCTTTATAATGGCAGTGAATAGTAATAATGGGAGATTTTGCAGCCCACAAAAGTGCATCCATCCATTATAAAAGTAACCAATATGACTCCAGGGGGTTAATAAAGGTCTTCTGAAGCAGAGCCATGCGTTTTTGTAATGTTTTTGATAACATTTGTGTTTGGTAACGGCCGTACGCAAATCTAGTTCCAGCGAAAGAATGACATCTGACGTATTGACGAACGCGGAAGCACAGAGGAAAACAAAACACTGGTCATGAATTAGAAGTCTAAAACTAGAATTTTTAAAAAGAAATGTCTGAGGAGCTTGAGTTTGTTGACCTATTTGTTTGAACCGCGAGAGGCGTCAAATCTCACCTAAGCTTACGCTACTCCTACATCCTATATCATGCGTCGGGTCAGAGGTCACTCTTCCACCGGAACTAGACTGGCGTACGGCCATTACCGGATGCTAGTGATTATAGTTTGTAGTCAGATTATATTTAAAGTTATAAATATGGATATTTTTCTTACAAAAACACATTGATTTGCTTCAGAAGGGCTTTATTAATGGATTACTTTTATGATGGATGGATGTGCTTTTTTGGGCTTAAAAAACTCAGTTACTTTTCACTCCCATTATACAGCTTGGAAGAGCCAGGATCTTTTTTTAATATAACTCTGATTGTGTTTGGCTAAAATAAGAAAGTCATAAACACCTAGGATGGCCTGAGGGTGAGTAAAACATGGGATATTTTTTATTCTTGGGTGAACTAAACCTTTAAGGGTTAAAAAGCAGTTTCTGGTGAGAAATTAAAAAAAATATATAATTTAATTCTTGAATTTATGACTTAGCTTGTCACTGTGCCTTAATTTCTTCTTTTAAAATGTGTCTCACAAATACAGGCTTCCATATATATTTGCATTATGTTGTAAAAAAACTGAATAAAAATCTAATAATATATATAATATTATAATCAAATTCAGACCATATTTTAAATTACATGATTTTCCTCATAGACAGAAAAGGCACCACATGCAGAAAATGATTCATATCACTATTTAGTAAGTAGTCATTTGCAAGATGCCTTTATCCGAAATAACTAACAGTAGTGGGTCAACCTGAGGTTAAAAATCATGCTTAAGGGAACAATGGTGGTCGGCCCAGAAACCAGTAACTTTTTCAAATCCTAGCCCTAAGTTTTAACCACAGCACCACCCATGCTATATATACTGTATATATACAGTGTACGTATAAAACAGAAACTGTGCTGTTGTTTCGCAGGGAGCACTGTCTCGCAGTAAAAGAGCTGTACTGCTATAAGGAGTGGCGTTCTGCTGAGGAAAGATCTCATCCCGGGTTCACACATAGCATCACTCTCCCAGAATGCACCTCTCTACCCAGCCAACAAACAGACCCATCCTCATGTACTGCAGTTCCTTACGTTGGTAAGAATGACACGCTATTATATAACTGTACACCTTCCTGTGGGGTGACATTCGGCTCGATCTTTGTTTAGTTATGAGAATCCTGTGATATTTTGGGGCTGATTGTCAGTGATGTCCATAAAGCATCCGTCCCATGAAAACAATGGGTGTTAGTGGAAAAACGCCACGTATGGTTCTTGGCAGGACAATGCTGTAGGTTTTTTTTTTGTTTGTTTATGTGAAATGCCTTGTGAGGAATGTGATGACAGCGAACCTGTAGATGGACAAGATTAGTGTGTTTTATAGCCAAAGCATGTGAGGAAGGATCAGTAGGGGATGTTGGACAGCTGAGTAAATGTTCCCATCTAAAAGTTTCCATGCCATGTTTGCAAGCTGCTGTCTAACTTGTGAAACGGCAAAATTCAGTGGGAAATGGCAATGGAATGTTAATGAAAAATTGTAGGAAAGTGGGTATTATGTTGTGTATTTCTTTTAGAAACCTGCATGATAACATAACTGGTTAATGATTGAAACGAATTTCAATGAAAAACACATTCTTTTTTGTGTTTTTTTCAGATATCAATAAAGATCAAGTTACATGTAAGTATGAGTTTGACTTTATGTTCTCTTCACATATAGTGGGGTCTATACGTCTAAGAGTCCATAAAGATATCTTAGATTTATTTTCATTTACACTTAAACACTGAAGAACTAAATTATTTTAAAATACAAAAATACAGCCTCAGACCTTTAGACTCCACTACAATTTTTTTTATGTTTCTGTCAAACAGCAATAATCAAAACACACATTTCAATTTACTTGGTCGTTTGTAATTTATATATCTATAGCAACATGTTACAATGACAAAGGAAGATTTTACCAAGGAACACACAATGTCACAGCATCTGCCATTCCCTGTCAGCCATGGAACCAGCAGGTAAATGTTTGTATTACAGTCAGCATAAAATCAAAATGGATTCTATTTACTTTTCTCAGAAATGTTCCTGCTCGCATTTTGTGAGATTATTCAATGCATGTTACTCTAAAGGATGTTTTGTCTTCGTAATTTTTAATCAAATTGCAAAAACTAGTACTGTCCCCTATTCACCAAAGTCTGGCATCACTTAGACTACATATGTGTAGGGAAAATAATGTTAGCTAGTAGTTAGCCAAGTAGCTACTTATGCATAGCTTTAGACTACCATTGTAGGTAATGCAGCCTTTCCAATCTTTGACAGTAGTTAATGCAGTCATTCGACAAATAAAAAATGTTTGCATATGTTGAGATGCTCGTAAAGAGACATGCCTGATTTAGAATATTGGGCAAAGGGTTAAAAATGCACAAATGAATAAACTAAAATTTATTATAACATGCTATCGTTTCCTCCTGTAGCTGTAATAATAATAATAATAATAATTCATTACATTTATATAGCGCTTTTCTTGGCACTCAAAGCGCTTTACATAGAAGGGGGAATCTCCTCAACCACCACCAATGTGCAGCATCCACCTGGATGATGCGACGGCAGCCATATTGCGCCAGAACGCCCACCACACACCAGCTTACTGGTGGAGAGGAGACATAGTGATGAAGCCAATTGGTATAAATATATGGGGATGATTAGGAGGCCATGATGGACAGAGGCCACTGGGCAAATTTGGCCAGGATGCCGGGGTTACACCCCTACTCTTTCGAAAGACATCCTGGGATTTTTTGTGACCACAGAGAGTCAGGACCTCAGTTTAACGTCTCATCCGAAGGACGGTGGTCTTTGACAGTATAGTGTCCCCATTACTATACTGGGGCGTTAGGACCCACACAGACCACAGGGTGAGCGCCCCCTGCTGGCCTCACTAACACCTCTTCCAGCAGCAACCTGGTTTTCTCAGGAGGTCTCCCATCCAGGAACTAACCAGGCTCAACCCTGCTTGGCTTCAGTGGGCAACCAGTCTTGGGCTACAGGGTGATATGGCTGCTGGCAAATATGTAATCAAATATACTAACTCATTTTTTCATCACTATCCTCAAACAATACCCTAACCCCAAACAATCCGAATGCTGCATGTTGGCATGCGCTCAGTGACCTTCAAACGATATGTACACAGGAAACACTGTTTTAACAGCAAAAACAATGGAGGGTCAAAATACACAAATCCAGAGGTTTCCTTTGAAATGAAGTTTTGAATGGAGAAGATTTTGTCTCTTTTCAAAACAATGTGGAAAGGTTTAATGCATGCAGTGGTTTTTAAACTGGGAATGCTGGAAATATCAGGGATAATGGGGATATTGAATTTAGCCGCAGATGATATGTGAGTGACCACAGGTTTGAGTTTGTTTGTTGACCGCTCTCTTTTTATCCCATTCAGGATCCCCATCAACATAGACTCTCTGTAGATGTAATTCCTGAGTTGCGAAATGCAGAAAACTACTGTCGTAACCCAGGTGGGGAGAGTGACAGGCCATGGTGCTACACCACAAACCCCAATGTACGCTGGGAGTACTGTCTGGTGCCCAAATGTGGAGAAGGTATATAAATGTATACCTAATCTATTAATAAGATACATTGTTGACAGGAGTAGCTAATCCTGGACAGTTTTCTCTGACATAAGTCAATATAAAACAAAAGCTGTTCCAAATCATCTGCATCACCATTGTTGTTCTTTTCTTTAGTTATCAGTGTGAAGACTGCCCCTTCGATTTCAAAACCAGTCCAGTTATACCCACCCCCTCCTGTGTCCACGGCCTACTCAATGAGCGTTATCATCTTCGTCATTGCTGGCTTTGCTGGGGCGGCCTTCTTTACCATACTCATCCTCATGTGCCACCGAAGAAAGAAAATGTGGAAAAAGAGGAAAAGGTGAATGATGGACTGATTAATCTCATTTAAGTTGTATAGTCACTCATTCATACAATTAACTGTGCTGGTAAAAGATTGAAGGCTCAAACCCCAGAAAGTTTGATTAATTAGGACCGATGTGCCAAGTAGGGTGTGTATTGTATCTACATCTATTGTTAGTCATGAAACAACATTTCCTATTAAACTATCATAATACCGACCATAAATCTAACTCTAGCAAGACATATATTGTGCTTCTCAAACAGAAGGCCGCATCCTACTGAGGCTGCGTCCTTCCTAGTCTGGTCCTTCGGAGGTTTGTAGGCTAGTGTCCTCCTCAGCATTAAACGCTAGAATGAGACGGTATAGGAAGTGTGCATGGCTACGTCATAAATGTTTACACCTCGCTGTCACCGTATGGAAATACTATTTAAATTTAATTTTGGGAAAATACTTTGTATTACAAATCTTTATATTAACTGGCTTTCTATTACAGTACAGTGAATGGTAACAGTATGTGGTCTCCCAGTGGCTTATATTACTGGCAGTTTAGAGTTAAATTATTAATTTACAGAAAAACAAAAGATAACATCTATACTTTCCTGTCCGAAAACATAATTTTTGTCTTACATTTCATAATAAACTCAGACTAGCTCAGTACCGACTCATTTTCCGTCAGTTTAATTTCGTGAATTTTAGCTTCAAATTGCGATGGCCTTCAGCAACATTTGATGACGTGGCAACCGAGATTTGCAGCCTTCGTAGGATGAAGTCTTCCGATTGAGAAGCACCCATAATCTAAGGCAGGGGTGTCCAATCATGCTCCTGGAGGACCATTGTCCTGCAAAGTTTAGCTCCAACCCCAATTAAACACACTTGAACCAGCTATCAAGGTCTTACTAGGCATTCTACAAACTTCCAGGCAGGTGTGTTGAGGAAAGTTGGAGCGAAACTTTGAAGGACAGTGGCCCTCCAGGACCGAGTTTGGATACCCCTTATCTATGGTGACTCTAGAACAGGGGTGTCCAAATCTGCTCCAGGAGGTCCACTGCCCTGCAGAGTTTGGCTCCAACTTGCCTCGACACAACTGCCTGTAAGTTTGTGGTATGTCTAGTAAGATATTGCTTAGCTGGTTCAGGTGTGTTTAATTAGGGTTGAAGCTAAACTTTGCTGGAGCAGGACTGGGCATCCCTGCTCTAGAACATAGGTTACCATTGGCCTACCACACGTGGGCTACCATCCTGCAAAGTTTAGCTCCAAACCTAATCAAACCACCTGAAACAGCTAATCAGAGTGTTCAGGCATAGTTGAAAATAACAGGCAGGTGTATTGGAGCAGGGGTAAAACTGAAATCTGCATGAATGTAGCCCTCCAGAGCCCTCCTAAGATTGGCAACACCGTCATATAGATTTTACCTCCAATTCTGCTCCGACACACCTCCCTGTAATTTTCAAGTAATCCTGGACACCTTGGTCAGCTAAACTCTGCAGGAAGGTGGTCCTCCAGGAGCCTTCTTGAGAGTAGTACACCCCTACTACTGGAAACTCTCACGAAAAGTGTTATTGAAGTTGCTTTGGAAGTTGCATGACCTAACTTATTAGTAAATAAATCTAAACAAAAAAGTTGTGCTTCTGTATTTAGTAGGGTGCTGGATACACCTACTCTGACCACCCTCCCCTCAGAGCTCTTGCTGGACAGACTTCACCCCAACCCCATGTACCAACGGCTGCCTCTCCTTCTCAACTCCAAGCTCCTCAGTCTCGAATATCCACGCAACAACATTGAATATGTCCGTGACATTGGAGAGGGGGCTTTCGGTAGGGTGTTTCAGGCAAGGTGAGAGCTACCCAATGTTACAAGCAAATGTAACACCAGTGGTGCTAATGTCTGTTCTGGTTTGGCACTGTCAGTGTTTATACTGATCATGTTTTCTTTTGCTTGGTTTTGTCAAAATGAACTTTTACATGTGTGAATGATTAAATGAATCCCATTTTTTTTAGAGCAATGACTGAATTCTTAGAAACTCTTCAGTGACTCACCAGTTAGATTTAGGAAAAAAATTAACCAACGGTAAATCCGCATGCAAAGGTCTGACGTGTACAGACCAAACCACAGTGCAATCCTGATATCAGGTATATAGAGACCCCTGGGAATTACAGCAGTGGGTAAAATCTATACACCATATGGCTGTCTCCTGAAATAAGATACTGAATAGGTCACACTAAACATGTGATGTGTTTCAATATGAAACTTCCCTGTAGACACTATCGTGTGAGCAAGCCCTGCTGGGGAGGTTATTTATAGACACCCATTAGAAAAGTGTTTACTTCTCCAGGAACACACAGGAGCCTTCTGCACAGGAAGTGTAATCTTAATGGAATTCTAAGTTGGTTCTTGAGTTACTGCCATTGTGGTTCTGTTTCCACAATTTGGCATCACCATTTAAACTATTTTAGAAGGTGTTATTGCCTGTTTGACAATTTGTGACAATATGTAGGGAGGAATTTGGTTTGAGATCAGTGAAGGTTGCCTACAACTCCTGCCCAGAGTCAAGTGTTTATCATTACAGTAAAGATTGTATACGCTGACTGCCCAGTTCTGCAGGCTTGTGCATGCGTGTAAAGAAACACATTGCTTTGGCTGTAAAGGGGCAGTTGTGTCCTAATGGTTAGCGAGTCAGACTGTTAACCCGTAGGTTGTGGGTTCAATTCTCAATTCCGGAAGGAAATGACTGAGGTGCCCTTGAGCAAGGCACCTAACCCCTAATCGCTCCCCGGGCGGCACGGTGAATGGATGCCCACTGCTCCGGGTGTGTGTGTCCGCAGTTTGCAATGTGTGTGTGTATGTGTGTTCACTGCTCACTACTCCTAATGTGTGTGCACTAAGTTGGATGTGTTAAATGGAAAGGACAAATTCCAAGTATGGGTTACCTTGTCACTATCAACTCTACAGTAATTTTACAGTTGTAATGCTCTGCCTAGTACATTACTTCAAATGCTGGGTAATGCTGCCTAAAAACTTATGTTCCAGATTCATATTGTTACAAATCCCTCGGTTGGATCAGCAAATTTTAACTAAAATTACTTAAATTTGATGCAAGCAAACTGCAACTACTAGTTCCCAATGTGCCTGCTGTCCTTTAGAGCCCCTTGTCTTTCGCCGATGGAGCCATTCACCATGGTGGCAGTGAAGATGTTGAAAGAGGAAGCTTCAACCGATATGCAAAATGACTTTCAGAGAGAAGCTGCACTCATGGCTGAGTTTGATCACCCCAACATTGTTCGTCTCTTGGGTAATGTATCACAATTGTATGCCTTCAAAAGCTTGCACTTTTAAAATACATCTGCTTGTGGACACTCCTAAAAACCCCACATCTGCTTCCTATTACACGTATGCCCATTCCCCAAGGGTACCGCAATCGAAAAAGCCTTAAAATAGCTCGACTCATCCATTTCAGAGTTGACCCAGTGTATAACCTTGGATCAATCCCCTCTGTGGCATTCCGGAACCAGATTCAATGCCGCGACCCAGTGTTAGAATAACAGAAGTTTATTTTTGGTTAGGTATCAACAGTTGGAAGTGTAACTAAACCTATCATTTGTGTATCTGCCATGTAGGTGTCTGTGCGGTGGGGAAGCCCATGTGTCTCATGTTTGAATACATGGCCTATGGGGACTTGAATGAATTTCTGAGACGGCGCTCTTCAACCCAGCAGCCCAGTCTAAGTCGGGATACCTTGACATGCAGCAGTCTCGTGTCAGAACCTGAGCGTTACCCACCACTCAGCTGCCTGGAGCAGCTCTCCATTTCCAAGCAGGTGGCGGGAGGAATGGCGTACTTGTCAGAGCGCAAGTTTGTGCACCGTGACCTAGCTACCCGCAATTGCTTGGTAGCAGAAAACTTGGTTGTGAAAATTGCCGATTTTGGTCTCTCACGCAACATCTATGCGGCTGATTACTACAAAGCCAGTGAAAATGATGCCATCCCAATTCGCTGGATGCCCCCCGAATCTATCTTCTACAACCGCTACACCAGTGAATCAGATGTGTGGGCTTATGGTGTGGTATTATGGGAAATCTTCTCATATGGCATGCAGCCTTACTACGGCATGGCCCATGAGGAGGTCATCTACTTTGTAAGGGATGGAAATGTTCTTGCCAGTCCAGAAAACTGCCCACAGGAGCTGTATAACCTCATGCGTTTGTGTTGGAGCAGTCATCCCACTGACCGGCCTAGTTTTGCCAGCATTCACCGCATCCTGGAAAGAATGCATGACCAGATGCTCAAATCTTGAGGATCTTTTAAAAATGCAGTTTAACGAATCAAAAAGCTGCAACTATTCAGGAACTCATTCGAATCTTAAAGAGCCCAGAGGGATCTTGAAGAAGGATAAAACACTTTAAGGTATACACAAGAGCTCCAGACAACCCAGAGGAGACCTAACAAACCTTAAAGTGCCAACAAATACTAAAAAAACCCAGAGGAGCATTGAGGAAAGAAGCCTAAAATTATTGGAAAGCTTGCATACCTTAAGGAATACTGATCCCTCAAAGTCTTTGAAGATGAATGCTTGTGTTTGTTCATAGGATCTCTATTGTTTTCTTTCAATGATGCAGATGTACGAAGGCATCAGACGAGAGATAGTCAAGATTTGAGGTGGTTTCATATTAACAGGATCTCCAGTAAAGAAGGTCCACGTCTAATACTAAGGCGGATGTAGTGCAGTCACTGCAAGAACCTAGACTGAAATCTCTGCAAGCAGAGACATACGGTATGAATGCCTTTTTTTTTCTTTCTTGCTTTGGGTTATCTACTTTGAGTTAAGTTGTGAGAGTAATGTGCATCTGGTTATGGTTTTGTAACATTCGTAAAAGAAGTTCATTCAAGAACATGCTATAGTGCTGTAAACTGAATAATGTTGTTATTGTTTAATTTAAGTTTAAAACATTTAAGTAGAATAGCTTTTTCCAAAGTGGCACATCATCACTTTATTATTTTATGTTGTAACAGAATAGTTTAATTTACTTTTTCACTAATTGCTATTCCAAGTTAAGATGGTTATTTGTTTGTTCTCGATTATATTTGATGTGAGTGAAACAATGTATCAGACAATATTGTATAGAAGTGTATGTAACAGCATTTCATCATATCATATCTCATAAGTCACTTAGATTAAATTGGTGTGAATTAACTGTTTATTGTCATGAATTGAGACAAAGAAATCAGCTTAAAATCCATATGCCAGAATTCTTTATGACCAGTTTTCACATTTTATAAAAATACAAAGCAATAAAAACTATGAAGCGGAAGTATGTTTAATATGTAGTGACCAAAATGTTAAATATATCTTGCAATTGTCCATGACTTAACTGTGTGTCTGGTAGAACTCACCAATTAATTTTCAGTTCAGCATATTCAAACCTTTGACAGATGTTTTGACAAAGATTCAGAAAAATATGCTTTGAGAATTTATCATACACGCTTAGCATGACTTTTTGTGTTATTATCATGTTATTATACTATTATTACATCATTTAACTAACTCCGTTAATAAAGTGGTTATATGAATAGATGTTGGATATGAATCTGCTTGAAATAAAATTATTTATTAAAATTCTCATGCTGTTGTCTTGAAACCTTTCAATTCCAATAGCATCACTAAGTTGTGGTATATAGGTAACTTAAGAAATCGCTAGTCTTTTGGACACTTGTTTTTCAATTGAGCAGGCAGGGGGCAGTGTTACATCACAGGAACTAAAATGACCTCATGGAGCATGATTTATGACACCACCTTTCTCTGCATTTGAGCCAGTTTTTGCTCCAAGCATTCAAAACAGGAACTTACTGAGACAGTATTAAATCACGCTGGCGTTTAATGAAGAGAGATGGTGAAGGATTTACTTTCAACGTGTGTGGGACAGTTTCTCTATTCCAGCATTTAATTTATCATCTAGGAATGTCCGACCATATCTGATAATCCTAGAAATACATTGTCTTTGCCATGAGTATTTTTAATGGCCCTGAAATTTCCAGGAGTAAGCAAGGCAAAACCACAGACGTCCGAGTAGTAGGCCAGGAAAAACAAGTGACGAATGGATTCATGAGCAAGAACGTTTAGAAGACGGAGAGGCCACAACAAAACTGAGCGGGTGAATTTGGACATCAGTGATTTATATTCAAACCATACACTCTCTCTGACCCTTGTGATGTAACGGTGAAAAACACCAAATTTCGGATTATTCCTGATCACCCCAAAAGAAGAAGAAATGCTGTTTTTCCCCCACTATAATACAAAAAAGTCATATTGAAATTGGATAGCATTAAGGATTTCATAAGGGAGAAACCAAACAAATGCCATTATTCTCTTCAGCCATGAATAAAAAACGTTTTGAATGTTGTTTCAATTAAGAATCAACATCTCAGATGTTCCTCATAAAATCCCTTAGAAGAAAATCAAATGTTGAATGAGCTGTAGAATAATTGTATAGATAACATTGGCCAGATCATTTGGTTCATATTTTATTGAGATCTTATAAATTCAAGTGGAAACACATGAGATTACTCGGGTCATTTTCTCAGGAGAAAGCAGGAAACTTCAGTGACCTACAAGTCTCCGTTTGATCGCCATGTAACCTCATTGGTGTCTAGGAATAGCAACTGAGTTACTGATGGGATTTTTTTCTTCTTCTATTGCTAAAACAGAATTCCTTCTATCCTTCAATCCTTCTAAACCATCGCAACCATCGTGTTTCTCGGGGTCTGACACAGGGTCTTTGACTGAGAGGATGGAGTATTATAAACCTGGAAAGTGGACAGTATGTTGACTGTTCCCATTTTGGTTCGTTTATTTTGGACTTGAGCGCACAGCTTAGTATGGCCGTGGTCTCCTAAACTTCAGAACAGTAGTATCTGGATATTTGCATTTTGTAGTAAAAGCTTATTGAATTACTTAATGAATGCCACATTATGCACATACGCGCTATTGTACAAGTTTAAAATGTATCTTTTGATAAATAAAATGTTATTCTTGGAACTGAATTGACCAGCTACAGTGCCTGCCTCATTCATATTTCCTGCAGGACTATAGTGTTATTAATATTATAAACAGTCTGCTCTCAACCTCATATTAATGCAGATAATACAATTTACAATGAAAAATGTTGTATTACCCTTGTGAAAAAGAAGTACAATAGCAAAAAGAGAATATACTTTAAAAGAATATAGACTTAAATGTGAAATGAATGGACAAATCAAATAAATTGTAGTGTAAATTTATATTAAATGCAATTAGCGGAACTTTAGAGTGTTTTTTTTGCCTTAAATACATGTATGTGTAATGTCATAATTACTTTGATTATCTTTCAATGGTTTAAATGATTAAATCATTTTTAATCATTATGGTTAGTTACAGAATATATATAAATACTTCTGAGAAGTATTTATGGCATTTACTAAAACATACTTTAATGTCATTTCTATTGAAACTTGTATGTCATGATATGTAAATATATTTGTAGTTACACATTTGTATACTGAAAAAAGTATTTTAATGACTTATCACAACTTGTATAATCACCTTAGATAATTAATGTGGTTTCGATAACATCATATTTTGAGTTTCTATTTATTAAACCAATCTCATTAATTGTATTAACTATTTTTTTGAATTCCAATGTACTTAAAGTAAATTTTAAGTTAAACCAACAATAATTTAGTTGCAGTTTAGAACATTAAAAGGTTGAACTTCAAATGTACTTCTATAAGGTTTGGTTTCTTATAATTATGCATAATTGACTGTAATTTCTATATTAAGTACAAGCAATGTAAAACAAGGCGACTGCAAAATAAAGTGTTACCCATTTAAAATATATTAACTTTAAATGTAACATTGAATAACACACTACAGTTACAATTATAATCAAGTCAACACATGACCAACAAGAAATAATTGTAAAGTATTATCTGAAAGTACAGTTTTTTTTAAATACAATTTTAAGATTCGAAGTACACTACCAGTGCTCACTAACCACACTTCTTCACAAGGGTCAATCAGAAAATAATGTAAAATAGAATAGCGTGCAGTTATTATAAAGCGTTACCAAATATTTGTGACCTTTTTGATCCCAACATTCAACAAATTAAAAAACTAGCATCTGTGGCCACTTGCATTAAGATAGCCGCTGTGTCTTCAGAACTGACCAATTAGTTAGGGCTAATCAGTCTTACCTTTTGGATTTAAATTAGACCAATCTAAGTAACAGACTTAAACAGTTATGACCAGCCTTGTAGAAATAAATGAGACGACTACCTTGTAAAACTAGTCTAAGCCGTTTATTCAACAGGCCATTGGTGTTGAAAAGGCCTGCAAGTGACAGGAACACTGTTCTCCTTCATAGCTGTTTGAAAATCTCCTCTATGTCTAGTATCACACATGACTAAAGAGTAACGCAAATGCAGAGGAGCTGCTCTGGTTTAGGCTTGGCTGTCTCCAAGAAAAAACTGCAATTGTCCTGTGGAAACTCTTTGGCTGTATGTTTCACATACCAGTCATTGTTTTTACAGATATAAAGGCATGTTACGTATAGCGTCCAAAAATGAGGCCGGTGAGGGTTTGTTTTCTAATAGTTCTTGTAGATCAGTGACATCAGCAGAGACAGAGTAATATCCCCATCACTCTTCAGCCCGAACACAAGGATTTCCTACCAGTTTGCAGGAAAGGTGGAAAGCTCCATTTTGTTGTAATTCTGGAAAATATCTGTCAACTGTGAGCCAAGAAACTATGGGGTAACTGACATATTTTTCCTTTGCAAAAGAACAAAATGCCAGTTTTGCAGAAACGTTGCAACGGATACGTTTCTCAAAAAAACATGTGTTGAGATTCAAGTATACGCTCATAATTTCAATGCAAAGCAGTGGACATTGTAATTTGATATGAGAAACCTGGTCTATGTAAAATGACGCACAACAGATGAGGATTTGACTCATATACAGATTTATTTTAAGAAGGTTCACTAATTGAATGACATTGTTAAGTGAATGTTATTATACAGGATTTCAGAGTTCAGACTTCATTAAGAAAACAAGTAAAGCATCTTTTTTGGGGGGGAATACGGTCACATTTGCTGAAATGAAAAGGAAACAGAATGTCGTTTTTCAACCTAGAATGAACCTATGGCCCATGACCCGTCAAGCACAGCGGTCTCTTCTGGATGGACGTTATTTGGAGCACTGGACTGCTTCAAACTTGCTTGCGCAACAGAGTACGACTTGCAAAAATGCTGAAACATTTGCTACTTGGTTAACAGAAAGAAAAAAAAAGAGGTTTTATAGGTTGTTTTCCTGGAAAGACAAATAACATGAAAAGTTCTCAAGAAACTCAAATGGTCACACTTGATCAATGCATATATTCAGTGTAAAATTGATAATAACAATGTTAGTATTTCTTTTTTTGTGTGTATGACAACTGGTAATACTGATATGTTTTAAAATTAAAATCCTCAATTCATCTACAGAGTGCAAATCTTCAAATATCATCCATATTAAAGTAGAAAGTTCATTACACATGATGCCATTTCAAACATGAATAAACATTAAAGCAATACTGTCATTAAGTTCAACATGTTATAGGGTACAAAAGGAAAATCATTTTTCTACAACACTCTTTTTACATCAGTTTTAAACTGGAGGTTATTTCACGAATGGCGTTCCCTCTTATAAACAATACAACATATAAAACTGTTAACTTCACAGATGTTAGAATTAGATTATGAACTTCCCTACAGTGGCCCCAACAAGGTTTGGACACTTACCAGTCTCATTTACAATGAATTAGTCTCATGGCATAATTTTTTTTCTGATACTTTTTTGGGTGACACTTTATTTTACAGCATCTTTGTTACATGTCACATGTCCTTACTGTAGTAACAACAGTAAATTATACATAATTATATTCAACTAATCCAAAACCAAACCATAATCTAAACCCTATAGTAAGTACATGTTGTTAATTAATAAAATTGTAACAAGGTGTAACAAGTACACCTTAAAATAAAGGGTTACACCATGTTACAGTTTAAGTACGGAGTAATTAATTAATGAACTACAAGTACTTACTATAGGGTTAGGGATACGAATAGGTTTTGGTTTAGTGTTAGTTGCATGTAATTATGCATAATGTACTGTTGTTACTACAGTAAGTACATGTAACGTGTAACAATGACGCTAACAAAGTGTCACATTTATCATTGAATGTATCTTAAATGTCCAAATACTTTTTTGGGCCACTGTATGTATACCAAAACACTTGTCATTCCATGTTTGGCCAAAAATATATATTTTGTATGATGAAATTAGATTTTAAAGAAGAAGTTTAGAACCAAAAATATTTAAAAATAGCCATACCTTGGTTCAAATGTTTTAACTTTAAACAATAAACATTCCCTTTTTGACTAACATATGAATATATACACTTATTATACACATACGTACATATGTTGGTATATGAAGTAAAGACGCTTTTCGATAATTTAATTTCCGTCATGTTGAACCATTATTATAATTTTTTTTTATGACATTTCATTTTGATTATGACCATGACACAAGCTACGTTGCATCACTTCAATGAATCGGTCAATTCTGTGGCCATAAATTCAACATCCATAAAAATAATCTTCATTATTTTGTATTATGTGTTTTAGAAACGTGAACAGAATACCTTGAAAACTGAATATAATTCATAAAAAGGTGTCAGATATTTATATATATATATATATATAGTAATAAGGCACGGATGCTGATCCCGATTGAACATGACTGGGAATGATATAACCAACAGATAAGGCAATTTTTGTGTCAGGAAAGATATAAAGCCAAGTTGCGTATATTAAACCGTTTCAAGTTACTGAGGTATAAGTTTACCCAGCTTCACATAAATATTTAATACTCCTCATCATGTTCAATTTCAAGCATTCATCTACATTCTCAGCCCCTTGGACCCCTAAATCATTCAATGGGCTGAAAGACATATTTTTTGGGTATTATATTTGGTGCCAGCTTGGTATCATAGGATGGACCTGCAGTGCAAAAAAAAAAAAAAAAATCAAGTACTTCGCATAGTTTACCAAAATTATTTCCCAGTGGTCTCTTACATGCACTCTTTCTTTCTAGTGCAGATTCACTGGATACTTCACCACGTCTTTCACCTGCTGTACAAGACAAAAAAAAAGTGTAACTCCTCGATTTACAACAATCTGGCCCAAAAATTACAACTAGCCAATATACTCATCCAACCTTTTACCATACTTAAAGCATTACGGGAACAAATATGATTTGTGTTAAACTGGCTACTTAAATCCTTTTGGATTAGCCTTTAAATAGTTCAATATAGTGACAAAACATTATGAAGACAGAAGAGTCTTTTGCTGATGAAAATGCCTTTTTCACAGTCTCTGCTTGCTTATATGTAGATCCTGGCCCCTGTGGAAGCTCAGACCACTGAATGGTCATTATGGTGAGCCCCGCTCAGGACCGTGTGGTTGATGGAGGACGCGGATCGGTCTGAACCCTCCACAGTCCCGTTCACGTTCTCCTGGCGTTGACAGCACAGGATCTGTTTGAATGTGACGCTCATCTCCTTGTCCCGGTAGGAGTATATGATAGGGTTCATGGCAGAGTTGAATTCCGCTAAAAGGAGGAAGAATTTCTCATAGGTCAGGATATTGCAATTGGTACAGACCACGTCCAGCAAGAGAAGCACCAAACCAGGCGTCCAGCACACAATGAAAGCACCTGAAAAACAAGAGGAAATGGATGCAATTCATTTGAGGAAATTGCAGGACAGATTTCTGTACTGCAGAAAAACAGGTTTAAAAGTAGCACAGTCAAGCTCAATAACTTTAACTGTGCACTAGGAGATTTCTGAGAAATGCTTTTGAAAGTGGATCGGACCGAGCACAACACACTTTTAGCCAATCGGCAGTAGGGGGCGTGTCCAATCATGATGGGGGGAGGAGCGAGAGATTAATACTTTTATTCACGATAGCCTCTCGTACCTTATTGCGTACATAGAGTAGGGGGCGCTATTGCGCATCTTCTGATCGAGTACTGGATCTTCTGTTCAAAATACATGCGAAGAAGCACTAGAAACAAGCAATACCAATGGGATCATCAACATTAAACAGTCTATAAATCAAGACCGCCTAATGTTACCGAATGAAATGTCGACACAGGACGAGCTATAGGACTGTGAAGCTTTGAGAGTGTTGATGATTGCGATCTGCTATTGTTATAAGGGGGAATGTGATAGAAATGTTGCTTACAAATATATTTTATTAAATGCTGAAAAGTATTCATAGTCCAATTAAAACTTGTCTATTTTAGCCAATATTTGTGTCATACATTTCTATACGTTTTAGAGCAGTATAGCATTAGCTCAGCAACATGCTAACAGCAAATGGAATTGAAACCAATTGAAAGTCAAGTGTCTGATGTGATTCGTGTGAAGAAAGGATTTGAAGGTTTCCTTCGGGGATGCGGTGTTAGAAGGTAGTTCCCTATATAGGCAGTAGACTAAGTTTTGGATAGAGCCTACAACTCATAATATAAGGCAATGAATATCTGGCTTTTCCATTACTAACAGAAGGGCCGGCAGGCATCCCAGTGCTTAAAAAAAAAATCCCAATAGTAAATTTTATTGGTGCCAAACTTCTCCTTTCGTATCCTTTCCTTATGAATCTAACCTAACATGACTTCGACAAACAAAAAAATGTTAACTGAAAAATAACATTTTGGCCACAGTTGTTATTTTGCAAGATAGAAATACGTTTGCAAAAGCACTACTCTTCTTTTAGTCAAACGCAGCTGCTCTTGAATGGCTGACATCACTAGAAAGTTATGTGGAGACTCTCAGCCGTTAGATAAACTGCAAGCTGTTTCCAGCATGGCTTTGCCACATGTTTTGCTCTCTCTGAACAAACCCACCAGAGACGTGAACGAGGGGGACTGAAGACTGCGTTTGAAGTGAGAGATTCTGATACTTTTGTACGCCAAAGACGAAACCGTAGTTTCCTCAATACTGGTCCCAACACCCAAACGTCCAGTTGGTTTTACTCTGAAACTTGATGCTTTGGATTCATAGTTCTTCTGAGAATAATGAATCTCTAAATAAAACTATATACTTGAAATGAAGATGATTTCCCGTGTACTTTCACTGTGGGTTCAGCTGTGAGAATGGGAGCAGCATCGAGAGCTCCTTTTACACGAACATCTCAGAAAACTAATTCGAAACAGAGAATCAGCTTGTTTTGGAAGAGAGAAAAATCCCAGAAATGTTATGGTCTTGCTCGAGTTCAGGACTCCGAGTCCTTGTTAGTCCTTGGACTCAGGAGTCAGGATCATGTGGATTCAGACTCAATCCTGACTTAAAATCAAATAATTTGGTATTGCATACTATACTGTGGTGAACTGCGATATCAAATCTGTCAGCCTGCTGTTATAGCATACAGTAAATCTACTGAGGACATGCTCTCTCAGAAACATTTAACTAGATTTTGCTAAGTAATATTTATGTTATCCAATTTAGGATGAAATTCGACATTGGTTAAATTGGAAGTTAATCCTCCACAACACCATTTTGATTTAATTCAGGGATTCTGTAAGTGGCATAATTGTGATATGATACCACATTTCCGCTTACAACTAGATGTAATAATTAGATGCACTGTATCCTTAAAGTGCGTTTCATGTAATAGCAATTAGTTTGGATAACTGTGTGTTTGAGGTAAGTATTCCTCCCGGTGCTTTACAGACATACGAAGAAAGCCAATTCCATGGGTGTGGACGAGTTAAAACGGAGTAAAACTGAAGTCATTCTAAACAGCAGTTTCAGTCAAACCCTTGTATGTTGGACCTCAAAAATGAATCATTCCCAAATGCTTCAAGCTTACAAATAAACATTTCAGTTTTAAAAAAGCACCCAGTTGAGGTGTATTGCTTATTTGGTAATGCTATGATATTTCAACCTAGATTCTGTATGTCGTAACTACAGGATATTGGTTCGGTACAAACAGGGCCGTAAAGACACCCCTCAGCCTCCATTAAAGCTCTCTTCCACTTACAAGCTGAATAAGCAGCTTAAATTGGCAGCTGCTCAAAGCCTTGCTTCATCTTAGAGCAGGATTTCGATTTATTACTTCCGCAAAGCCTTATTAACACCATCAGGCACAATGGCTGGGGTGTTCAGACGAACACTGCAAGAGATTCAGGTTCAGAGGCGAAATTACTTTGCCAAGTCACATGAATGTTGGGTTTGTCTAGGAAGTATTTTTTGGCTTTCCTCGACAAAGGCAAGGGACTGGCCATATCTAAAGGATAACACGGTTTCATGCTTTGATTCTATTGGATAGTAGAAGCCATCGATGTATTGTTTTTCTGGTTATTCAGCATGTTTGCAACACTTTAGTTTAGGGTCCAATTCTCACTATTAACTAGTTGCTAATTAGCATGCATATCAATGGATTTTGGTGGTTTAGTAAAGCACATATTAATACCTTATTCTGCATGACCATGTTCTTCATTCCTTAATCCTTCAAGACATGTTAAAGACAGACATGTTGGACAATTGGACTCGCATCTTTTGCAGAAACTTGCGCATGATGCGGCATTCTCAGCTCAAGTTAAAAGTAGTTAAACTTTTTTTTAAACTTCTTGCGCAAAATAACACAAAGGTACAACAGCTGTCACTGGGACGGTACCCTTTCAAAAGGTTCTAATATGTACCATTTAGGTACTAATGTGTAATTTTAAGGTACTGCATTTACACTGCAGTTGATGCCCAATTCCAATTGGTTGAGTATAATCTTCTTTTAAAAGTGACCTATTTCCAACATCTGCATTTACACTATACACTTGGCGAAACAAGCCAAGGTAGACATAAGGGACTTTCGCACCAGAGGAACCTTTTCACAGTTCCTAGAACTATTGGCGGAAGTACCCATTTTTTGGCGTTCGCACCGCAGGAACTAGGAATGACGTACGATCTGTCCGCTTACATGGCAGACGCAAATGCACATTGCATATCAGATTTATTTCCACATGAATGAGGCTTGAAACCGATCTAAGAATATCGGCATCGATGTGCTTTTTTCTTGCTTACACGTTCATGGGTCATATACAAAAAAAAATCAGAATTGGGTCTCAACCATGTAATGTAAATGCGGCCTAACAAACAACGGAGAACAAAAAATAGCTAAGTAGTCGCTGTATAAACTTAAAAGTTATGATGATTTGCACTTTCCATATTTTATGAGGCTAAAAATAGAATTGTTATTCGAGCAACTTGTCAGAAATTATAATGATTTGTGTAGTAATTTTACAGCCTCGATCTGCTGCTTCCAACAATACTGCATGATTCACTGTCACATGACAAAGACTGACTCAAATTCAACAAACATCATGTCATCTTTAAAATCTAGAATGCATAACTAATCAGTGTCTATCAACATTATCCACCCATGAGTAAAAGTTATCTCCGCAAAACAAGTGCTATCTTTTTCATGGCAAACTCGACAACACATGGTCAAATGTTTGTGGTCAAAAATATGCAGGATTAGCAGGAGGTTGATGGGAACTCAGTGAGACAGAGACACCTGTGGAAGTGCTTATGCATGCTTTGCATAGCAGATTCCAGACCGGAGGATTTGCCAAGAGCATGGGCATTTGCCCTGCCCTCCCCATTCAGTTAGCTTTTCCTAGGAATCGGCTCATCAAGTTTACGTTTTTATTCAAATAAAAAACTGTTTAAAGTCAACTGATATTTTATGTGTTTAATTAGTATTAGATGACTGTGTTTTGGGCTGATTTGTTCTTTTTTTGATGGAAAAAAGTAATTATACAAGTATGGAAGCTTGTTGTCAAAAATAAATTGGTAATTGTGACTTTTTAAATCTCACAATTCTGACTTTTTTCAATTCTCGCAATTCTGAAAAATAAGTCACAAATGTGAGATAAAAAGACGCAATTATCTTTTAAATTGTTTTATTCCGTGGCGAGGTTGAGCTGTGAACGCAATTTAATATTGACTTCGTGATTGAATTTGTAAATGGAAAACTGATATTCAAGCCATCACTTGCACAACACACAGTTGTTTGTTGTTTATGACTGACATACTGTAGTTGAAGAAATCTGATTTAACACCATTTTAATGGATGATTGCTAAGACGATATGCTGATATACTTCCATAACCATGAAATCATCGCTGCCTCATGGGCTGTGATGTTTACATTTCTCATGCATTACGATTATGGCAGTTTCTGAGATTCACAAGGGGCAAGATGCCAGTAAAATCAACAAAATATTTTCACTTGATAGATGCAACGGTCAGCTTATCATAATCTATGTTTTTATTTCAGAACTGGTCACTACCTTCAAGAAACTAGGATGAGGAAAAATTAAATAAAAATAACATTGACTAGCAAATGTGTTTTTCCTCCCTAAAAATTATCTGTATGCCATGCAAGCATATCTGAGTCATGTGTCAAGTGATCCAATAATGCTGATAAGGCAAGAGACAATGGCCAGAAAATGAAACTTCAACCCTGGCCAACTGTATTCAGAATGAAACGCCCTGCTGTTCTACACCACACGAGTCCCGATATCTCGTTTTCTTGAGGAGCGGAAACTGATCCAATGATTTCATCATCACTGTCATTCAAATATACTTCATACGCCCTTGAGTAACTCTCAACAATGGATGAATCATGCCTTTGAGAAGTAACAAAATCTGATTTCATTTTAGCTTGTGGAAGTTATTTGTGACAGTGTGGGGAGAAGCAGAGTCTCCTTGTTTCATGGAAAGTCCTTTATGGTGGATAGAACATGAAACCCTGAATTGGTACCGTTGCTTTACACTGTAAAGTGACAGCAGATCTCACTAGACAAACAAGCACCTGGTCTGCAGAACAAGCTCAAGTCAGTTATAATTAATGGATATGGTGAAGGTTATGCGCAAAAGAGAATTGTTGGAAATTACAATCAACTCTAATATAGACAAAGCACTTTACTATTCTTGTATTTTTTCTCAGCCTGACACACGTTCACTAAACCAGACCTTAGTTTTCAGTAACCACTTCCTGCTGCATACGTTTGCTTGTATATTTAGGTGGAAGTTGTGAAACATTATGAGTAATGTTTAAGAGCATTAATAATATCCTCAGAGATCCAGGGCACATTTAGTTAGTCAGATTAGTCCGAATAGTAAGGGTAACACTATTTTACCGAGTCATTGTTACATAATGAAACATTCAGTTACTAATATTTATAAATTAGGCATAATTACATGCAACTAACCCTAACAACTAACCTATGGAAACTTGTTTCCACCACAGAATAAAACATTTTTAAAGATAATTGAGACTTTTTATCTCACAATTGCGAGTTTACATCTCGCAATTCTGACTTTATTTCTCAGAATTGCATGATATAAAGTCGAAATTGCGTGTTATAAACTCAGAATTTAATGATATAGTCGCAATTGTGAGAAAACTAAACTCGCAATTCTGACATCTTTTCTCAGAATTGTGAGATATAAACTCCCAATTGCCAGTTATAAAGTCCAATTCTAAGGAAAAAAAGGACTTTTTCCCTCAGAATTGCAAGTTTATCTCGCAATTCTGACTTTATATCATGCAACTCTGAATTTAAATCTCCTAATTGCATGTTATAAAGCCAGAATTGCAAGATATAAACATACAATTCTGAGAAAAAAAAGTTAATTTATAACTCGCAATTGCGACTTTAAAATAATACATTTCATATTTATATCATAACATACTTTATTTTATCTTAGAATTGTGAGATAAAAAGTCAATTTTATTTTTTACTCTGTGGCGGAAACAAGCTTCCATTCTAACCCTATAGTAAGTCCATGCAGTTTATTAATACTCAGTACTTAAATATAATGTATAATTACACTGTAAAAAAGACACCTTTAAAATAAAGTGTAATTTAAGTCAGAATAATTGCTGTTTGGCCTAGGTATAACTATATAGCAAGAAGCCATATACACCACACATATAAAAAAAAATACAAAATTAAAAAAAAGGATAATTTGAAGGATTCTATTATTTAAACATTAATTACACACTGTAATTACCACATATACATCTATTATCTCCAGAGTGAGATCACAGTCTACAAACCGTGCTTTCATCCAGACCCCTTATTATCCATCCTCCCTAGAGGTTCGAGACAAGCTCTGCCTGGTCCAAACAACAACAGTACTGTTTCCTGCACAGCACCATGACTGGCTTCCTTTTCATCCAGGCCAGGCTTCACTGGGGGAGCCGGCGAGGCATGACACTGAAGCAGTGCAAGGCAAACAGTGGAACTGGCCGCAAGACCACTATGACGGTTCCTCAGCCTACTCAAGGGCTACATTGTTCGTCGACTTGAAGTTGGCACAATAGAGTGAGGGGCAACATATTACGTAGCATTTAAATAAAGATGCTTATGCTTATACATATATATATATATACACACATACATATCAAGTGTAGTGTCAGTTCTGGCAGGTCACGTTAGTCAAGCTCGCATCAGCTGACTCTCAGCTGGTCCACGTCTACCTATAGGAATACGACGCCTATCACTGTATACATGTATAAGCTCCTTCAGTATTATCAGCAGCTATCGCATTTCTCAGGAGCGAGTTACCCTCCTCCCTCCCCAGCTCCTCCTGTCGCCAGTCAGTATGGCCTTCTGATTCCCCTTGAATCAGAATAAATTCTCGAATTATGTTGTACTTTAAAATCTTGAATTAATGATATCTGCATTCATTCATGTTGGTTCTGTTCTGATTACCCTAAGGGGGGTATTTGCTGCTCTCCCTGCTCTTATCCATGCTAGGCTGACTGGATGCGCAGGGAGTTCTTGCCCAGAACAGAACAAAACGGGCCAATCCAACGGTATGCTAATTGTCAATCATATTTTTAGACGAAAGTGGTCCTGACAGAAATGGGCTTTTGGTTATTTTGAACCACAACTTGGAGCCTGGTGCATAAATTTGTATCATTAAAGGACCTCCCTTGACAGGAAGTGGACAAATGAGTGTGAACAGCAATTGTAGAGAATGAATGGATCCCCAGAGCAAATATCCATGTCATAGTGACATCATTCAAGGACAGATTCTCAGAGAACATATGCAATTAGGCTTAATGATGCTCATATCCACAACGCGGTAGACCAAAAAAGATTGTTTCATGTGCTTTTTTGCAAAGATTTAGAGGTCAAGAGTATTGACCTTTATGATTTTTCCCAACATTTAAAAATAAGATAAAATATCAGTGAGGACAGTTTGTTTGTTGATCAAGTCATTGTGGTTTTCGGCCATCTGCTTATGATTGCACCATCATAATAATAAAGGATATGATAGCTATTTTTATGTAGATTTATCTGCAAGTAAAAGAGTGTGAGAATTGACCCACACTGCATTCAAATATACCTCCTTCCCCACTATGTAGTAGGTGAAAAAGTACTCAGATGGCCCACTAATTCAACAGAGGTTTTGAAGTGTGCATCCAGTGGACACTTTACTATGACACCATGGGAAACAATTTGTGAATGACAGTGAAGCAATTAAACTGATTCTGGTTGGTCACATGACAATGACAACATGGAGGAAGTACACCCATATTTCATTTATACTACACACATTGATACACACTTTTAAATTGGTCGCAAAGTTTGTACCTCATCTATTCAGACAGCATTAGCTGTATTTAAATTTGGATGCACCATTTCAAATTGCTTTATATGAAGAAAAGGAACAAATCGTCATAAAATAATGAAAATGTCTTCAAATGCCCAACACAATTACAATTTTTAGTTTGTGACTGTTAGCATTTAGGCCATCTAGACAATATCAGCGGTGTCCAACCCTAATCCAGGAGTGCCTCCATCCGACAGTTTAGTTCCAACCCCAATCAAACACACCTGAACCAGCTAATCATGTTCTTCAAGATTACTTGAAAATAACAGGGAAGTGTGCTGTAGCAGGGTTGGACCTGAACTCTGCAGGGTGGTGGCCGTCCAAGAGCAGGGTTGGAATCAGGGTCTACATGCTAGTGCAGGGTGGTCCAATTTTTCCTTGGAGGACCACCATCCCATGTTGGGGAAAGCCGGTGCTAAACTATCCAGGACCCCTGCAGACAAATCCAGCACTGTTGGTCAACAGAAAAAGGTTTTGCATGCTGGGACCAGCATGGGATGCTGGTTGCTGTTGGACCTGCTACACCAGCTCTGTTTTTCTTAAGAACGAGCACTATACCAGCTCTAATAAACAAGAAACATTGAATTCATGCTGGTTTATGCTGGATTTTTCAGCAGGGGTGTTGGCCCTCCAAGCCCAAAGAAACCCTGAATGAAAGCAGAACTTACCCAATACAATCACAACAGTTTTCAGCAAGCTCATCATAGTGTCCCTGTTCCGCCGTTGACCTGAGCTGTGCCGGGACATCCTCATGGTTCGCTGACGTACGTACATAAATATGTGAGCGTAAAGAACGACCATCACCACGAAGGTCACCAGGTTGAAGATGGCCCAGAAGCCCAAGTAGGAGTTGCTGTAGAGGGGGGCCATGTTGGAGCAAGTATCTATGGCACAGATGCAGTTCCAGCCCACGCTAGGAATGGCACCCATGATGATAGACATGGTCCAGATGATGACGATAACTACAACCACTCGTCGATTGCTCATGCGGGTATGGAGCTGCATGCGGAACACAGTTATGTGGCGCTCAATGGCTATAGCTAACAAGTTAGCAACTGAGGCTGTTAGGCTTGTATCGATGAGGCCTTGGCGAAGCAACCACGTGCTGACTGTAAGCCTTCTCGTATTGGGTCCCGTGTTGAACATCAAGTAGAAATAGGCAAGTCCCGCAAAGAAGTCCGCAGCTGCTAGGTTGGCCATTAGATAGTAGATTGGAAAATGAAATCGGCGGTTGACGTAGATGGCCACCATCACGAGCAGGTTAGCTAGCATAATAAAAATACACACTGTAATCCCGAGTCCCATCACTAGCTTGCTTACGGCGTTCCATTCTGTGGCCAGATACTTATGACTACGATTGTAAAAAAAGGCTATGGTTTCATTGTAGTAGCATTGTCTGTCATCCATCCTGAAAGGTTATGTTTCTGAAAAGAAATATTAAAAAAAGGTGTTAGAGCTTCAGCATTATTTGAAATCTAATGAAAGGTCACATATGGCTTAAACACTTGCATAATTTATGGCATGTAATTTCACATTGATGCCATACACAGTAGACTTGCCACCCACATGCATTGATGCCAATTGGTTTAGAGCCATATGCACAATGATCATAATTCTGAAATAAAGTGTTGATGTATTTTTTTTTTTGTGACATTGCAGAAGAGCATTTATAATGCATGTTACATCCACATAAATTAACTGGTAATAAACCTCTCAACAACGTGCACTTATTTAATTCAAAAGTATGTCCAGAACCCATTGAGATGTTTCACATATCAGCTTTTTAGCATGCAGTTTCCATCTGCTCCTGTTTTATTAGCATGTTAACGCATAATGTTGACCAGGAAAGGCCAACTAAACACTGGAAAAAAAGACAGCTTGCATAAACACACAAACGGGCAAAATGGTAGTCTGAAGCATGGGATTATAACTCTCAAAACGAACTATTAAACGCATCGATGCAGGACTGAATTGGGCGATTCTTCCTCTCCAAACACAAACACAAACACAGGAAATAGGCCACATTTGAGCATTGCAAGATAATTTAACCCTTATTATGTGTAAGAAAGTAATCAGTAAAGTTCAGCAGGGTTTCATTGTTTTTCAAGAATCATTGTGGTAACATCGGTATACTACAGTATGTCTCAATATCCAAATTTGTTTAAATTGCATTCATGAAGTTATTAAACCTTTAAAATGACTTTTTAGAAAATTGTCATTTACCAACATATAAATTGAGTAGTCTACCAATGGTTGCTCCTTTCCCAGCAATAACAATGGATAGGAACAAGAGCTTTTAATACTCAAAAAGTCACTTTGGATGTATTGAAATTTCCTCTTTTTTCCACAGAAGAAAGTTGAACAACATGTAATTGAATAAATAATGTGTGTTTTATGTTGTGTTTGAAAACCTGGTTGCATTGCATATCATAAAAAATATTGAACTCTTTTAGATAGAACCATTTATTGCAACTATTAAAACTTCAAAACAGACATTTCTTTCAGCTCACATGCAGCTATCTCAGGCTCAGCATGCTATCAATTGTTAGGAATTCAAATGCCAAGCAAGAGTGGATGACCTTTCCACAGTTATTGTGTACTTCTAAAGCTATCATCACCACACATTGGTCCATAGTGCTGGGAGACAGACAGACAGATCCTGGCATTGTGTGTCAATGTGTTTTATCATATAGCCTCAGGCCTCTGATCTCGCTAAACTAAAGGCAATGAACAAGAGCGGTCTGTGCACAAATGTCTGTGAACTTCCTCTCTCAGCTGCAGCAGTGCTCAAAGCCACAGTTTCAGCACTGTTGCTGAACCCATCCTCAATGGATAAAGACAGTGAAAAGGAAATTCCAGAACGGCCTTGGCTGAGTGCATTTGATAACATTGTATCTTCACAGTTCTGCTGTATCTCCTGCTAAAACAACAGTGCAAGTCTGCTGCTACTCAAGGAAACATTATGTGAAAGTAAACACTTTAGAAGGTATACATAATTTAATTAAAATAATGCAATTTTTGCAATTACTTTTGACCATTCATACAGTATTTGTTCAAAACATGGTTTAAGAGTCCAAATGCTTTTTGGTACCATTGTAGTTTTAATTCACCCAACATGGGTGAAAATTCAAGAGTTTAAATAAATGAGACAAAGACCTTGATCCTCCATATTGAATGGCATCACAAGCAAATATTACTACGCAATATAGATACTGTGCAGGCAAACTTTCTGTGAATGAGGTTAGGGAACGAGCGACGGCACCAGTCTTGATTTATTTCAGTATTGGTCCCTTGCCTGACTGAAATTACAAAGCAGGCATTGTTCTGCACCCATCCTATCAAAAGAAAACAAACAATGAAACTGGATTTTTACAAAGAATAAATTGTTCACATTAGGCTCTGTGAAGCAATACTCCAATGTGATTCAGACACAAATGTTACTAATTTATGCCCATAATTAGGCAGGCATGTGAAAGCTGTAAACGATGAGGAAGATGAATTCAGGAACTCCGGTAAAGTAGTGGTGGATTCTAGGTAACACTATTTTAAGGTGACGTAGTTACACGTTACTACATGTACTAATAGCAGTAAATTATGCATAATTACAAGTAACTAAACCTACACCAAACCCTAACCGTAACTTTATAGTAAGTAGATGTAGTTTTGAGTAAGTAACTTATTCGAGTAAGTACAATGTAACCATCACCTTAAAATAAAGTGAAACCTAATTCTGTCCTAAAGATATAGGCTACAATATTACAAAAGATAATGTGTCATATAGGCTCTTGATTAGGCTCTTGATTAAAATTAATGTCATGTAATGTACCAAACGCATGTTGTATTCCTTATTTGCAAGTTGCTTTGGACAATGCAGAAATGTACTAATTGTTCAGTAACACTTTATTTCGATCGTCCATTCTACTGACTATAGGTAACTTTGCAACTACATGTCAACTAAGGGTGTATTCACACCAGGAAAGTCCGATAGTTCACTTGCTTTGGTCCGGACCAAATAATATATATATATATATATATTTTTTTGGTACGGTTTGCTTTCACACTGCTCTTTTTGCAAGTGAACCAAAATTTGTAAACAAAACCACACGTGTGCTAAGGTCGTCCATTCATTGGACAAGGATTCTGAAGTAGGGAAATCAGGAAGTGCAAAAAAGGCTTAACGTAAATGAACGCATCATCATCCTTGTATTGTAACTATCGTTACATTATATGAACTGAAAATGCTTTTTTTTTTGCATCTATGCGCTAGGGGTGGGCGGTATGACCAAAATTCTATTTCACGGTATGACTCATTTTATTTCACGGTAACGATATATTTCACGATATTGATATTTATATATGTAGTTATTCTCGAAAAATAGACAAAAAGGGCTTTGTATAATAAATAAACCCAAATACTTTAGAAATGAAAAGTACTTCACATTGTTTTCTTTTTCTCTTATTTGGTAAATTATTTATTTGATAAACTATTTAGATAGCTAAATATAAACAAAACACACTCATCAACTTTTAGATAAACTGCCCCCAACTGATTGATATTAAATACAACTCATAGGAGCAATTCAACTTTAAATAAAGTGTTTCTGAATCATTTTTCAATCTCATGGTATGCTTTACTTCATCAATCAGTTTATAATATCTGAATATTTTATATTGAACTATTCTATTCATGATAAATTAGTTACTTCCTTTTAATTTTGTAGGATAGTAATACTAGTTGTTTAAATGTGTTCCCCGGTACATTTTTGCCATGTCTGCTTAGGCTACACTGCGTTTTTAAGGGGCTTGTTTTGCTCTTTTTGTGATATCTGGCAACCCGTCACCCTGCGCTTTAATCAATAGAAGTTCAGAAGTGACTAGAAGGAGAGCAGCAGTTTGAAAACCGAACAGCAGGTACTGTTAGTGTTGACTAAGTAGCCTAGTTTAAATTATACACACCTTGTAACTGCGTCATTATTTGACCATAGCCCGGTGAACACCGCGCTCCCTCAGTGCGTGTGCACGCGCGCGTCTTCTGCATCAGTAAAATGCGATCGGTTAATTTGAGTGTCAAGTTGTAATCACGGATCGAATCAAAGGAAGATTTCATCAGCTGGTTCGGTGGCCAATTGTTTGGAGTTAGAAATATATAATTCACGATGCATATTTAGTAATTTTGCCTCAGATAGGCTACAGGATCACTTTAACAAGCAGGTTGTTCATTACCACGGGCGGCAAACTGTTTGCGTGTTTAAAAACTATACATAAGAGACGGAAAGATGCAGATAACTGTACATTATTTAAGGTTATTTCTATTCGTTACGATATTGATAACTGTTGTTGTCCAGCTTTCCCCGTTGCGAGCGTGCACTAATCTGTAGCCTGGGTGCTGCAATGCTCTAGTGACTGCTGCGCCTTTCCCCCCGAAAATATCACGTTAACAACAACAACAACCAATGTAATTCCTTTGTGGATCCTCTTGATCTGCTTTCTCCGTGTTTCTTTTTACAATTCTCAGTGTTTCAGTCTTACGCACGTTGCACGCGAGTTAACCACGCCCACTTATTTGCATTTCGCGGTATACACGGAATAAAAAAATCTGTTACGGTTGACATTTTCTACCGCGGTAACGATATATACCGTCATACCGCCCAGCCCTACTATGCGCGATTAGACTAAAGAGAACGCTCTGTATGTGAATGTCCTGATGCACACACTCATTCATTCATTCCATTCCAATGATGCACACACGATGCGCAGAAAGACGCGCAACAGATGTAATGTAGTAACGTTAGGCTACAACAGATCACTTTCCCATAGCGCAACTCCGACTACAGAAGCCTGTTAACGCAAAGGCGCAGTGCTTTCTTGCAATTGGGTCGGTTCATGTTCACACTGTAAACGAACCGTACCAGAGTTCATTTGGAACCGTACCGAGGCCACCTCTTCAGCTGGGTCTCGGTTTGGTTGTTTGGTCCGCACCCGAGTTCGATTGCTGTATTCACACCTGCCCAAAAGGTCCGCACCAAGGGGGGAAACAAACTAGAGTTCGATTCAATCGAACCAAACAAGGCAGGTGTGAATACACCCTAACTCTCAGTTTTAGTAAACTGTCTGCTTCATATCTTTATTTTGATGATCCTCAACATACATTCTACTGACTATAAGTTACTTTATATCTTTTAGAACTAACCTTATAGTATACTAAATAATACTGAGAATTAGTTGACATGTAGTTGGAAAGTTACTTATAGTTGTTTAAAGTTTAATGTTTAAAGTGGACCATCGAAATTGTGTAACCAACTGTTCTATATGCTAACTAAATATATACAATACTATATATTACTATCCCAGCCGAATACACGCCTTGCATTCGTGAGAAACCACATCCATTTGACCCCATTAGACACTTCTAATTTGGGAGGAA